GCTGAACAAGTTTCCAGTCTCCCGACATCTCTGTGTTAAATGGATGCAGCCCATGTGAATACACTCATGAATTGCTAAATCCTTTGCTTCCTTTCAACTTCAGTCTCGACCACTAGATGGGACTAAGGGCTAGCACATGATAATAAAGGTCAGGTACGAGCTCATGAAAAGCTGATGTTTACAAAGCAAGTTGACATGTTATGTGGATGTTCAGCTCTTCTAAAACAAAAGGTCCTTATAAACAGTATCTATAGAATCTATTCCTCTGTGATGATAAAACTTTATGCCTTGCTTCTTCCTTTTCTCTTGTCCCTACACAGAAATCTCCGACATCTGCTCATAAGTGATTTCAGTGGGATAAGTATATGCTTATAACTAGACTCCAAACTTGTTCCTTGAGCTGAACTTCGAAAAATATTGGACACATCCAGAGGTAGAAAGACAAGGCAAAAAGGGGAGGAGGGGAAACCATTACCAGTGTCTAGACACAGACAAGTAGAGACAAATATTTTGAAACAGGGGTTAACTAGTATCACCATTCAAGTCAATGGGAAAACTGCAGTTCCGTTCAATAGAAACAGGTTTAAGCCAGAGGTGCCCAATGAATCCCTTGGCAGTGGAGGCATAGTACCTCGAAATGTTCTTAACTCACAAGATGGGTTGCTCTTGTCAACCTATATGAGTTGCAGTTTTAGAAAGAGATTCAGCTAGAGTTTTGCTGAACCCCATTGCACAGGGGATGTTGCCACTACATGGGTTGATGAATGGTGGCTGCATGCTATTTTGAAAACTTCCAGTGTTTCCTTTTGCTGTATTATCGCTTCCTCATCAGTTGGATGCATGATCCTGTCAAGGTCTTACGATCATCTGTCCTTTCTTGTATCTCCAAAACATTGTTCTTGTGGTGACGGTGGCCATTGTCTGGATAATTCTAGTAAGACATTGCCTGCAAAAAGTATTTTGGAACCCTAGTTTACCTGGTTGGAAAAAATCTATAATAGTAGAGGGTAAAGGGGTTAATTTCCCAGTTAACATCTGCAGAGCTATGTGGAGACTGTAGGTCCAGAAGGTGAGCAAGGATGTACAAACTGACGGGATTGGTACCAGAGCAGCGAGATGCTCCGCAGTTGTCCAACTGACAGGCTCCCATTGCTCGCAGGCTTTAGGATGTTTGCTGTGGGAGTTGGCAACGCGGTTGAGGATGAGCTGAGGGAAATTGCTTCAGAACCAGTAGCCGAGCACTACTTCTACACAGCTGACTTCAGAACCATCAGCAAGATCGGGAAAAAGCTGCAAATGAAAATCTGCGTTGGTAAGAGTGGGGGACTGGGGAGAGGGGGGATTTAGTCACAGAATTTGAAGTCTGGAAGCAGGAAAAAAATGCCCCTTCAAATGGATGTTACAAACAGCTCTCTGTTCTCACTGTATTGAGTTTGCAGGGTACTTGGAAGGATCACGAGACATCAACAGTTTGGGTGGTTACCTGAACCTTAGCCACCCCTACACCTCATCCATCTCCCTCTCTCACAAACTGCCTTCTCCTTCCCTTTTCCTCCACTCTTCTCCCCTTCCTCCCCTTCCTCTTCAGTAATGATGAATTCATGCTGTACCAGGTCCTGAGAATAGCCAAAAGTGACATAAAGAAAGAGTTGCTTTTAAAAGAGAAGCTAAGGTTTGATTTATTTGGCTTAATATGAAGATCATCACAATATTGGACATCTGTTGAAGCTTGCTAACCACTGGCTGCTCCTACAGTCAAACAGGCACTACAAGGGTGATGCATTTCAAGTAAAAATAAGCATCTAGTTTCTTCCACATGACTCATAGGTGTCTAAATTTGGGCGACATGAATGCTAAATTGCCCAGGTTTGGATAGCCTACTGAAGCAAAGGCTGAGAGGACAGACTGGGACACAGACTTGACAAGAGGATGTAAAGAATAACATAAAAGTTAAAGACTATTGACCTGGATATAACCTCAGTCTAAAAATTTTTGAAAAAAAAAAAAAAAACAAAAACTACCACAGTTATTTTGGATTTTTATTTCAAAGGAATCATATGCCTCCTGTGAAATATTGGCTCTTTGCAATGCATCTGCTGGATCAGGCAGATTACAGTGAATCCCAAACACTCAGGCTCCATTTAAGACATTGAATACCTTGCAGCACTTCTGAGAGCTACACTGCCAGGCTTATCGGGGACCTGGCGCTCTCTTGTCAAGTCTAGATGCTCAGGCTCCTTTATCTTGCTAGGCAAATGTTTCCTTCCTGTTCCCAGCAAGATACATTGCACACAGCTCTGATGGGGTTCATTTAGTTCCCAAGAGAGCTCTGTCAAGCTCAGCTCTACTTCCAATGAGTGTGTAGACCTGCTCTTGAGTGCCCCATGGCCCCACGCAATGCAGAGACCTCCACTGCTCTCATGGCACATAGATACGCTCTACAGCATCAACTGGATGAAATAATACACATTGCGAAAAGTTAATCTCTTTTTTCCCTTTCTTTGCAATTTTTATCATTGATATTTGTGTCAAAAAGAAGAGCTATCCATGTAAATATTAGTGGGTTAGCAGTAGGTGACTCATCTGTTTTTCCCTGTGAGTTCATATCAGAGAGAAAAAGTACTTGGGAAGTTAGAGGCCTTGCCTCAGGAAAATCGGATTTGGTTCCTTGCTTCACTACAGATGTCCTGGGTCATGCTGGGCAGGTGCCCTGTTCTCCAGATTCCTAAAGATGGGACCTTCCTTTCCTCCTGGGGAAGTCTGGGAGGGACAACACCCTCCAGGGTCCTGTGTCTGCAGAGCCTGGTAGCCAGGCTTGCAAGATAAAGACTCTCTTTGCCATGGCTAGTTTAAAAAGCAGGAGTCGATCCAAGAACAAGATGACGGGACCTATATGAAAACCCCCTACATCTAGTATTTAAATATCTTTTGAGAAAGCAAGTACATTTAGACTTCAGCTTTCAAAAAAGTAAAAATAATTTTCCAAAAAAGTACTTTTTTGCAAAAAGCTCATTTAACATTAAAAAAAAAATAAAGAAAGGAAAGGAAATATTTGTATTTGTTTGATTTCCAGTGCCAGCTTGTGTTTATCAACAGATGGCTAGAAGTCTTCTCTTAATATTCAGCTTCAGTTTACTCATGACTGGTTTAATCCTGTTGCGTTTTTGTGCAAGTGATGGCCTTTCCCTTAAAAAGTCCTTCTCCTGTTTACTGCTTCTATTTGCTAGGCAGTTGAGCTGGCTCAGTGTGGTCTTGTAAACATCTTCTTTCTTTTCCCAGTCATCTCAGTATCCTTTTTTGCTCCTATTCCCGTTTAAGCTTATTTTTCTTGAAGAACATATGTAAATTATTGACATAGATTAGCAAACTGATTAGTGCACATCAGTCCACCTGCTCAAGAAATGGAGTGCTGAAGCAAAGCTCAAACTTGACTCTCAGATGGTAAACAGTGCCTCCAAAGTTTCATTTCACAAAAGTTTATGAGCAGCAAAGAGCATGGCCCACCACGGTGATGTTATTGGGATGAAAACTAGCAAGCAGAGATTGTTTTGAGCACTGTCTTTGGTCAGATTCAAATTTTTGGGGTGAAATTTATGCATCAATAATAGAGCTTAGTAGGTTTTTCAGGAAAACTGGAAATCTGGGAAAGATAATATTTTGCACAGGGCGTGGCCTATATAACAAGAAAATGTGGGATTCTCTTGTCATCTGAGGTTCAAGCCAGAAGTGATGAGTCAGATAATTAGGAGGAATGATATTTTCATTTCCTTCACTTTTGTGATAAAGAAAATAAGAATTGCTTTGTTTCAGTTGTCTCAGTGATTTTTGATTTAATCCTTTTTTTTGTGCCACTTAACCCATCTTCTTGATATTCCAATCCACAGAGGAAGATCCATGTGAATGTAAATCTATTGTGAAGTTCCAGACCAAAGTAGAAGGCCTCATAAACTCATTGCAGCAGAAATATATCCTTCAGAAGTTGTCTTTGTTCAGAACTCAGGGGGTTGGGCTGTGCTTTCTGGAAGGACCAGTGGGGGAAAGTCTATTTTTTGAGGGAGGAGGTTGGGTACAGGTGTTCAGGAAGCTGGGAAACGAGACATTTGGGTTATAAATGTGTATAATCAGAAGAGTCTCTGCTCCAGAATGCACAGCTAGTGGTCTGACACAGAATAAGTAGAACAAAACCAACAGAGCCAAAGTAGAATATGTCAACCATTTCAAGACAGCAATGAGCTGTAGGCACCAATACCTAGGTCAGTTTTTAGAAAGATGCTTAAATGGTGCCAATGTGACTATTGTGGAAGCATGGGTCGTGCATGGGATGATGTTGCTACTTCCATAAGCTGCAGGTCCTGTGAAGCAGGTCAGAATGGGATGGCTGAAAGCAGCAGTGACAGGCACTGGACTATGGGCAGATGAAACCACTGGTGCACACAGGCAGCTGATTCACTCAGTTATTAAAGCTCCATGGACGGGATTCTTTTTATCTGACGGTAAATGCCTACAGCGCAAACGTCTGAGATGGCTGCCTAAATTCCTCCACAGCACTGGAGGGGAAGAGGATTTTCTGCAGCAAACCACCTCTGGCTGGATAGTTGGTGGTTTGGATAAAGTCAGAGGGACAGGTGCAGTAGTCAGAGGGATAGGTCCAATTTCTCCCAGCTGTCTAAACCTCGGTTATGAGAGACTGACTCTCATGTAACGGCTTGCTGCAAACATCTCCGGTGAGGTGAGTTGGATCCCATCTGAACTGAACTTGTGGGACTGTGTTCTGCCATGCTGGGTCCTGTCATATCGCACAAAAAACACGAGTAAGTGATTGAAAGAGAAACAAGAAAAAGAAAAAAGTTGTGAAAAAGATTCAAACGTCTTAAGGGGAGAGGAATTAGTAAAACCCAGGGGGGTGGGGGCTGACATAGGGCTAGGGAGATTTTTCATGACTGAGAATAAGGAGAGAATATAATTTTAAAAGCAACATTCTAATTTATTCACATATTTCTGTGCTTTGCTATGTCAGTTGCACAGTATATTTCCTACTCTTTAACTCAAATTGAGTGAAATCCATGACTTATGTTATGCAAAAGGTCAGAGTAAATCAGTAGTTCTCACCCAGTGGGTTGCCGCTCCCAGTCACACCATGAAAAGCAATTAGTGGAAAGAGCAGAAAATTGCGACACACTATATAACTCTAAGAAAAGCACTCTGCTCCACTCTTCATGCAACCCATACTGCTCAAGGTCAGGAATTCTCTGTCAACCGCTCAAAACACACTCCAATCATTCTCACATTTTTTACTCTTCCTTTTACAGTAAATTTATAGATGCAGGTAAGTGTGTGTGCATGCATGAACATTTTCTACCTTCAGTAAAAGTTCATCAATCTGAACAGTTCGGAAAATGCCAGAGTAGATGATGACAGCATTCCTTTGCTACCTGCTCCCAGCAAGGTAGCTCCATTCTTTATCTGTTCTGCAAGCCAGGGGAGGACTCGAGCAATGAATCACTAATGCGCACTGTCATTTTTTCCCCTTAACTCTTGCTCACTGGAAGCTCTGGCAAAAAGGATCGAAGCCCTGGAGAACAAGATCATCTAAGATCCCCAAACAATATTATTTCCCTCCTGCCTAATGTAACAAAACTAGAACTCCTTCACTTACAAGGGAGGGCAGCTCAGCCACAGTGCTATGGCCAGCTTGTATTTTGTTAAACGGTCTAGGCTACCTGCATTTGTTTAAAAGGAAAGAAGTATAACAGTAGAGCAGGCATTGTATAACAGGCAGAGCACTGTGTGTGACTGAGAGCTGGACCATGTTAACATTTGTTGCATCGTATAGAGTGCATATATTAAAAAGAAAACTGAAAAGATTTGGTTTTGATTTAAAGCTTAATATATATATGTGTTAATAAGTACTTGATTACGAGTTCTGTGAATCCTTGCTGTGTTCTTCTGCATCTTTTGTTTCTATGCATGAGATAATTTAATTTAAAAGTCAAAGTGACTTACAATCAACTCAGATGCTGAGTGTAAAATGTCAAAGCCTCTGACCAGCTTATTATTGTAAGCATGACGCATTTGTCAGTAAATAGGTGAAATATAGTAATGATCTCTGAGTGTGCGTTGCAAACAAGATAGTATAGGATGCTGCTGCTAGTCGGGTTTATCTCTAGCTGCTGTACAATATAAAAAGAAAAAAAGCTCAGCTTTCCTAGCCAGTGAACACTCTCACAATGTCTCAGTGAACTAGCACCTGAGCTAGACCTCTTCTGGGTAGGTCCTGATAACGTGCAATGAGCCAGCAGCTGTGGCTCTGTGTTACGCAAGGCAGTACTGTTAACAACAGCCCCAGGAGATGTGCCCCTGCTCCTCAGCCCTCTCGTCCCCACATCCTCAACTGACGCTACAAAACGTCATTAGCACCTAAAACCCAGGGAACTGCTGCCGGAGCTGCTGCCGATGGAAGCGGTGCCTTCATCACTGCGGTGACCAGAGGCTCATAGCTCCTTCGTTATCCCACACCTCTAAGCACCTTCAAAGCCAGTAAGTTCATCTCAACACCTTTCGGACTCTTCTTCTCTTCCTGGATTCCCGGCACTGGCAAGACAGAAAAGTGGTGTGGGCTGGAAGCATCTGATGCTGCCTGTCTCCTACAGCTGTAGTCTGGCTGCGCGCGGAGCAAAGAGGCCGTGTTTATTCACGGCACAATGGCCCACCATTGAACATGAGCACAAGGGATTGGGTTGGGAGGGTGTTTTAGTTTTATTTTTTTGTATCAAAATATTTATACTTGAGACTATGTGAAAAGCTTTTTCAGAACAACTTGGCCTCTTCAGAAATGTCACCACAGCAGATGTGTTTTGGGGGAATATTAAAAGTTTGCTGAAAATTTTAAAAGCAAATTGAACTTATTTCTTTGCATAAGCTTTTGGGCAGTTGCCTGACAACACCACCTCTCTATAGTCTTGTTAGTAGGTAGGAAAGCCTCCATCTCATGTTACAACTGTTTATTTCAATGGAAGAGAAGAAACAGCTCCATAGAGAAACTGAGAGCCTTCTCTCAAAAAAAAAAGCCTCTTTTACAACAAAAATAATTTCTTTTACTCTTGGACTTACAGGAATGAGTCAACACATTTCTAAGCATTAGCTCAAGGACTACAGTCAGTTCTTGATAGCAAAACCTCATCCTCTCAGTCAAATCTTGTATAGTCCAGATCCCAGAGTAACCACTACCAACTCCTGAACTTCTAGCGATAGGATTTCTGTTCTCTAATTTTACACATATAAAATCTAGACCTCTAACCTTGAGCTTCTCATTTGTTTCTCAATAGAAACAGACACCACAGAACACGTGTCAGAATTATCTAATGTACGCCTCTTAGTGAGACCAAGCAGCACCTTAGCTTATTTCTCCTTATAGATCATAACGACTCCTTCAGAGTCATGCAACTAACTTCTGAACAGCTCACATGGGGCAACTGAGGCTCCTCTACTGCCATCTGAGGAATCTTTTTTCCTGGTTATGTGGAAGCACTTTCCATCTTAAAGAGAATATATTTATAATGGGGGCAGAAGAACCTGTGTAGTAAGCAGAAGGCAAGGCTTCTGCACACTCTGGTTCTCAACTTGTCTTTTTATCAAGGACTATCAGCAGCTGAGCTCCTGATACAGTGCAGAATCTCACCTCACTGTTGAATAACACTGCATATCAGCACAGTGTTACAGCCAATTCCAGGAAAAAGCATTTGCAAGCCAGGATTCTGAATTCATGCAGACAAAAAGGGTCATACAAACAAGCTATGGAAAGGACTGGTGAGGAAGCCAGTGAGTAGCAATCCAGGAGGCAAGTGTGAAAGCAAGACGGAACATACAGGGCTGTAATGGTTCATCTCCATGAGTCAGGAATAATGGATCCATAATGGTTGTGGGTGAGAAGATGTGGAGGTCCAGGAGCTGATCAAACAAGCCTATGTATCATCTTTTCACTGTTGCTTAATGAATTGTTGATCCTATTGTCTTTCCCTGTTTGAAACCAGGGTTCAAGTACAACCCAGAAAACATCAAAGATGATGGAAATAATTAACAGTTCTCACCATGTACCCTACTGGTTTCACTGGGTAATGGACTGGGCTCAAAAATCCTCCCGGCACCATATGCCCAGGGATGAGTCAAAAGGGTTTTTTTACCATGACAAAGCCAGGAAAAGAGATAACAGCAATTCCTGGCCAGAGCAAAGTCCAGTAATCAATTGGGCTTTGAGAAATGCAGAGGGATCCATGCCAACGACAGCTCAGGGGCTGGAAACCTCACTGCTTGTCAGCCTGATCCCACCAGATGAGGTGGGGATAAAGCCATGTGTGTAGCTGTGAGCCTCATTTATTACTCTCAGAAATGAGATGAGACTCTAACTGTGTTGAAATTGTTGTGTTGTGGCACAGGGTTTCAAAGAAAATAGAACTTTTTGACCATAAAGTTGCTGTTTCTGTCATGTTCGTACAGCCTAGTACTCATCTGGTCCTCAGGGAATACATGGCTTAATGTAATGTCCAGGTTCCCTAACGTATTTCTGGACTTCTTATTCTTTACCCTGGTTTTCTCCTTTTCCTTTTTTTCTATGCCTCTTCAATCTAACAGCTGATCAGAGGCAATTCACTTCCATCTAATAAAGGATGACAGTATTCTTTTTCTTCTAGCTATAATCAGTTTGCAAATCATGGAAATGAGCTCCTGTAGTTAATTTTCTTATATGCCTATTTATTCTTTACATGCCTTGAAAGTAAAATGTAATAGTCTCAGGAACTAAAAGATGGATTTGATTTTAATTCCTATCATGGCAGCCATGGAAATGCCTGCATGGTAAGATATTACTATTGTCGTTCTGCAGTTTAAGCCGTTTGGCTGACTTTTTCTGGTAATGGGATAAATTAATGTAAAGTGAGGGCTGGATCTTCACCTCCACAGAAAACTTCATCCATTCAGCCTACCTTGCCCATTGCAAGTTTATTCCAACAACTTCCATAAAATTCAATGTTGTGCATGTCTTTGGGGAGAAAAATCATCCCCAGCCCTTTCTAGAGAGGCTGATCCAGATGGGACCATGCCTAAGGGCCAGTGACTCGAACTGGGATGTGAGGAGCTGATACACCAAGCATTGCTCTTTCAAACCTCTGCAAGCCACTTTCAGGAAGGACCTAAGAGACTTTAGGTCTTCCTAAATCTCCAAGTTCCTTGTTTCAGAGCAATACTCCTTGATGCTGCAAAGAAATGCCCCTCCATGCAGACATAGCAGCTCTTGTTTTCAGGTTTTATGGAGAGCATGCCACTATATGTGTCTTTCCTAAAGTTTGTCTGTCCATCCATCCATCCATCCATCCATCCATCCATCCATCCACCCACCCCACCAATCAGTCAAGTAGCAATCTTCATGTTTCTCTATACTATGGTCTTTACTCATTGAAAACCACAATCCAAGCTCACCTTTTGGCATCACCAGGCCTACTTCATGTAGTAAAATCCTCTGCAAGGAACACAACATAGGAGTGGGCCATAAATAATTTGCAGGTGTAAACAGAAAAGAATGCTTTCCCAGTGCTCTGCAATGGCAGGAGGGCCAGGATATATTAACAGGCACAGAATTGCTTCTGTAACTAATATTTTGTTTTGTGTTACAGATAAAGCAGAACTAAACTAATTAACAATTATTTTTCCTCCCTTCTCGCTTCTCCTGGCTTAAAACAACAAAAGAGCTCTTGCATCTCCAAAGTCAATTAGTCACTGGGCTAGAACATAGGCTTTTGACATTGTAATTAGACTTCATTAATGGATCGCCAACGGCAGCAAGATGGAAACCTACTAAATGAGTCTCTCTTTGCATTTTCTTTCAGCTAATTACATGCTTATCTTGGAAACAAAAGATGCTGCACACAATGAAAAAAACACTTATATGTCCCAAATTGTGGAGTGATGGGCTTATAGTGAAAGCCTCCTCCTTGCTGGAGGTTGTAAAATGATCCTTCTGCAGACGTAGAACTTCTTTCCCCTCCCTTTGCTGCTGCATCCTACATATGACCAGTCCTTCTCTCCACGCTGCCACCAAGTCCCAAGTTCCTTTAGATCTTTTGGCAAAATAATTTATAAAACGCTGTTCTCTGAGTATGGAAAAAATACTTGAGCACTTTTTCCTCACCTCCCTGTGGGTGCTGAGCATGCCCTCAAAAGACTGGAGCCTCCACTGCTCCCAAAGGCAGGAGGAAAGCTCTGCCTTCCATCAGAGCCCTTTTGCCAACACGATCCCTCTGGGGAAGCAATTTTCTCATGCAGGTCATTGATATTATAACACAGGGCCATTAGTAATCAAATAAAAAAGTGCTTTCAATTAAACTGAGGGCTTCTAGCATGGTAACATCTTTCAATAGCAATTTGTAACACTAATACAGTGTAATTGCTGCTAATGAATGGGTAGGTAGCAGACCAGTTATTATTATGATTTTTTCCAAGCAACATCAGGCAGTGAAACCTGTCTCAGGCTGCATGAATTTACTGTTTCTTGTGAAAAGCAGCGAGCTTCCTCTCCCTTAGTCCTCCGAGGTAATTCAGTGA